AAAATCTTGGATATAATTCATGTTTTCTGATTTGGCTATTGATTTTGGCACTTTGAATATAATCCTTTGAATATACTTCTCTTCTCTTCGATCGATGTTATCAAACGCAAGTAAAAAAATGAACTAATGCAATGTTGAAGATGCAGCTGTATTTATACAAACACGTCTACATTAGAAAGGACAAATCCTCCCCCCTTTCGCCACAAAGCATTAAGTATATATTTCAAATGATTGGTAATTAGTGATACTAGTGAAGAGTGTCTCACTGAAGACTTTGAGCTATCAATTTTCCCTTGAATTTTATGTTTTATGGCCTGTACTTGTCTAATTGTATGTGTTAAATACAATAAATCAAAGCAAGGAGTGTGTTTTAAAACATATTTTTTTTGGCATTAGCTAATATTTTTTTATGCCTGATAGCATTCCAAAGTCTTTTATTACATTTTAAAAATGGTCAAAATTATATTGAAATTTAACGGAAACCATTAGCTACTTTTTTATAATCCATGTAAAAATTAGAAAAAACAAAAAAAAAATAACAAAAACAAGTAAAAATTAGTTGATTCGCCATTTTGATATTGTATAATGATTTGATGACCAAGTCAATTTTACAACTCGACTATTGAAAGAAACAAGCATTTTATGTACAATTTAATATTTAAAAAGGGGAATTTAATTATATTTATATTATTATAAGTGAATAATAATTCAATCCGCATCTCAATATCTCAAATGACCATGGGAGCGACATGACAAAACTTGACATGAACGCCAGTCCATCATTACTAAAAATGGTACAAACAAATTCGCAATAGATGACGCTTATAAATCGACAAACAAGGTTAGATTTTATTAGAAGAAAAATGAAAAATATTGAAATATTTTAAAAATATTTAATTTTAAGATTTCAATTTAAATAAATTTAAATGATGTGACTTCTAGTGCTTTTTTGATTACAATTGTTTTCAAAGTATTATAGAAAATATCAAATGTGATATTTGTTGTTTTGATATGTCAAAAATGTTGTATTGGTTAAGTGTCAAAATGCACAGAGTTTTTTTTAGAAGAAAGTTGTTCGATTTATAATTTTATAAAATATTTTAAACACACAATTTATTTTATCATATATGATATCTCAGTGTGCCTTTGTGCACATGTGTTATGTTGTCTATCAATCTATACTGCACATGATACCCATCAGCGTCGAGTATAGTGTACACTATACGATATACATGATGTGCACTATAGTCAACACCGTTGCGTGTGTATCTTGTCGACAGTCAGTATAGCACACTGAAATATCATATATAATAAGATAAATTGAGTGCTATAAAATATTTTATAAAAATATAATTACAACTAATTTCTTCTTGAAAACTTCTGTGCATTTTGAAAAAAACAACGACATTTTTTTACATTTCGAGACAACAAATATCACATTTGATATTTTCTATAGTACTTAAAAAACCATTATATTCAGAGAAGCACTTTTAATTTTAATTCAATAGTTTTCATTTTTCTTTCAATAAAAATAAATAAATCTGAGCGTGTTTGTCGATTTATAAACGCCATCTATTGCGAATTTGTACCATTTTTAGTTATGAGGGACTGGTGCTGATGTCAAGTTTTTCAATCGAAAGTCTCACGTCGCGCTCATGCAAATTACAAAACGTAAAAATACGTTAATGACAAAATGCATTACACCCTAGTACAAAATAAAATGTCTTACATCCGTAAGACCACAACATTAATTTATTACGTATCTTTTACTGTGATTTGAATGCTTGTATGATATCTTAATAACGTGAAACTTTGCACAGGCTAATTTTTTCCACAAAAAGCCGACAAAGTTTGAAAAAATGTCAATACAACTTACAATACGACTTATTATACAAAGTTTTGTTCTACCAAATAAGAAATTTTCGAACAAGTTGACCTGTATTTTCATTTAAACCTTTCATTTATAAAACTGCTTTTTCTGTATGCTAAACGTAAGTTATTCTATCTTTATCTTAACTGTGTAAAGCATACAATCATTTTCTCAAAAAACATCCGGGAACAATATTTGCATGATGTCTTATGCCTACACAAAATCTTCATCGAAAGTTTCGAAAATGTAAAGAGGAATTGTCAAAACTCCCCAACATTTATGTGTGCGTGAACATAATATGTTTTTATATGAATGAATAAAGGTTGACATATAACCAACTTCATGCTAGTGCCAAGAATTATAATTTGTGAATTGATGGAAATTGTGAAAATTAAATAATAAGTGAATGTTTATTAAAATATTGTTAGTACAAAAAATGTCTAAAAATTTATTTTATTCTAAACAGATTAAAAACTTCCAAAATAATTAGTTCATTTTTCGAAATATCATAAAAATTTTCAAATATTATTTTCATTCCGAATTCACTAGTAGCATGAAGTTGGTTATGAATGGTTCGCTCAAACAGCTGTTTTTTGACATTTTGTTTTGTTTGTGTGTGAGTAAAAGAGTGTAAGAAACTGCGTTAGGGACTTTATAAAGGCATTTGACATTACCTCTTTAAATAAAATGATAAGATCCGGGCGTCTTGAGTATGTGGCAAAGATGGCACGGGACTTGGTGTTTACCTGACGGCGGAATTGAATGAAAATAGTAATGGCACTGTAAGAACCTATCGAGAGACCGATTCAATGCGTAGTAATGAATGTATGATGGGTGTATGTAATGCCCCGAACTCGCAGCATCGTGGAAATTTTTTTGGCATTTCATTGAAAGGTGCAGGCCTAGAATATTTTTGGGAAGGGATTGGCTCAGAATTGAAGAGTGCGGAGCTCTTTTTGGGAGCTCAAGAAGTTATAAAAGAAGAAAAGATATCAAACGACCAAGAAAACAAAGAGTGCATATTCTACGAAAATAAGAAAAATTCGATTTTATACCCATGTAAACATGAAGAAATATGTGTTTCTTGTTGGAACAAATGGAGAGATGCACAAACATCACCAAAAAAAATGTCCCATTTGCAAACGAGAGGTACTTGATATTGGAGAGGTTTTAGGTGAGTCACTATTACTCTCGACTCAATAAAAAACAGTGATGGTTTTTTCCTATCTGAATAGCGCTAGCTATTTGCAGCGTCTGAACAGCATTGCTGCCCAGATGCTGAATCGAAGCGGTTGCCGCACGCGTTTTGTACCACACAACATATTGTCATATAGTCTAAGTAACCAGTGAGCTCATAGAGTATGATACACTAATACCATAGTCAGTATACAAACGCATGTCGAACAGAGAACGAACGCGAACGTGAACGTATATGCTCTGTGTGGTACAAACGAAGTGTGTTGCGCGTGCGGCAACCGCTACGATTCAGCATCTGGGCAGCAATGCTCTACAGGCGCTGCGAATAGCTAGCGCTATTCAGATAGGAAAAAACCATCACTGATAAAAAATCACAAATGAAAAATAAAAACTCGAAATAAAAACAATTTATTTAACAATGAATAGCATACAGTATTTAATATTGAAAATTGAAATAACAAAAAAAAAATTGCAATGTTCTTCCATACCATTTTAAGTGTATTTGCACTTGAAAATATGTCATTTTTCGCTCTGAATTTTGAATCCCCCTCATTTTCCTCCTCACCACTCCTCCTCCTCAGAGGAACAATTCCTGTTCAAAATACAAAAGGAATCGGAACCACACTAATCGTTGATTGAAAATATTATCGAATATCATGAAATTTGATGGATGATCCGACTTCAATGTAATGCAAACTATTATGACGAACGGAAAAAATTCCCAATTTGAAAATAAGATGCCCCAATTTGGTTTTCAGGGAGTGAAAAGAAAGAGTTGTTTGAAAAGGCGAATGCATTCTAAACATGCAGTCATTTTGCGGAAATTTAAATTCAAATCAGACGATCAATATAAAAATAATGAATGAGCTTAAAAATGATCGAAAATATTCAGTCTTACTTCCCTTGTGTGATAACACAACACACGAAAATGAACAACAACAACTATTTGGTTTTTATTTGGATTGTAAATATAGGCATTGAACATACTGTTTTACACTTTATTTTATCAGCAAAATCAAATCATCTCGAAAGAAAAATGTTCTCATAAGTTGATGACTTTGCAAGTTTCGTAGACCAACTTCAGTCTTTCACGCTGATAGTTTACTTTCGATTGTATCCAAAGGTATGTATATTGGTTTGATGTTATTTGTAGTGGTGCTTTTAAAATTACGTGCCATAATGGCGAATATGAACATGCCGAAAAACAATAAAATGGCATAAAAAAGAAATTCGTATGCTTGAAATTGGAAAAATTGCATTCCGGATATAGCCACAATGATTAGATTACCAATTGCAACATTCAACTGCCAAATCGATAGTACTACAGATCGCATGCTTTCGGGTGCTTGCTCATATGAAAATTCAAGGCCGGTCACTTGAAACATTACTTCGCCCATACTAATGACTACATATTGTGGCAATTGCCACAAAATATTTACAGAATTTTTCGGTGATGTTTCAATCCAGAATTCAAGAAGTGCTGCAAGTAAAAATGAAATGCATGTGAAGACTGAGCCAAGTACGACCTTTTGCAGTTTGTTTCTAATACCAATTTTACTCAAAATTGGATAAAAAGTGGCTTCAAATGTTGGAATAAATATGAGAACTAAAATGGCATTTGACACTCCCACTTGATCCGGTTTTATATTATAAAATCCAATGTCACCGTTCATTTTTACAGCTTGAAATGTCCAGCCTGTAACGTGAATATAAAAACATAAATATGTATTTGCATTAATCAGTTTTTAAACTATAGTCTTAAAATTACTAGATCCTTGCTGTTTAAAAAGTGCCGAAACGATTGGTAATGGCAGGTGAAGAACAAAAATTTTCAACATTGTTCTTGTGTCCGTAACCAACTGGGCTCCAAATTTATCTATTGAATAATCGAGTAAATTTTTTTGAGGATTTGACTTTCGCAGGCTTCGTCTGGTAGAAATTGCATACTAAAAAAAATTCAATATCAAAATAATTATAAATTAAAATATCAAATATAAACACCTTTATGCATTTATACATTCTTATGATCATATTTTCTGACACTTCAACATATGTGTACGATGACTTTCCAATTACAAAGAATACTAAAAGAAAATATTGAAAATAAGTTGATTTGAATCACATGCACAATTTAATATAATAAATTTACGGATGGAAATGATCATTAAAATAGCAGGAACTCCAAATGCAAGTGAATAACAGTCGTGTTCACCAAAACAATGAACGTCTGCTCTAAAAATTGGCGTGAGTATGGTTGAAAATAAAACTCCAACATTTATTGAAAAGTAAAACAGTGAAAAGTATGTTGCCATCTGAGCAGCTTGCTCTGGTAATTTGAACTGATCTCCACCAAACGCTGACACACATGGCTTTATCCCACCACTGCCGATTGCAATCAAAACCAAACCGATAAAAAGAGCAGCCTTAGGTGAAAATCCAATCATTGGAATGGCTCCGACCGAAACAATTACACTTCCAATCGAATAAATGATCGATAAATAGAAAATGGTTCTGAATTTTCCCAACCAAGAATCGGACAATATGGCACCAAATATGCATGCGAAATATGTCAGCATCACAAATGTATGATATAATAAAATCGCATCGTTTTCTGTGAAATTCAATTTGTTTTTCATATATATCGCTAAAATTCCTAAAAATATTGAAGTATACATTAGTAGCAATTCGAATAAAATTAAAATAAATGCACAAGTACTTGACATTCCATAAAAGGTAAAACGTTCACAAAATTCATTTCCAATAATAAGAAATATACGTTTTGGATAGGGTAGCTTTTGTGCTTCCGATCCATTTGCATCTGAAATATAAAACATGAAAATATATAAAAGATATGAATGTCCCAGAATGAAAACGAGACTTCTATTCACAACTACTGACAGTCAGCATATTTTGTATGGTGGTGTTACATTTCAATAAGTTTTGAATAGAAGTCTCGCTTTCATTCTCGGGCAATCATATGTCGAAAGAGAGGAAAGTATCGCTGTTTGACACTTTTTGTTGTTGATAGATTAGTACATTAGTATAAAGAACTCTTCTTTCAGATAGATTTGTTATCAATAGAATTTAACGTGATATTTAGTAAAAAAGTAGCTAAAGAGCAAATCGAAATTAAGTAGTCGGAGCCTGATAAAAGGCATGTCTTTTCCTTATCTTCCATTGGTAGTAGAAAAGTGTCTCGGAAATCAATGCATAATTATAATTACAGCCAAAATTATTTATTGTGTTGAACAGACAATATATTTAGCTGCCGTCATCTGGATATTTCAGCTCATCTGGATGCCGTCAGCAGATGATGCGAAGTGAAAACAATAGAAGGGATTGTTATAGTAATACCAGTATATAAAAAGCTTATATACCTATAACAATCACTTCTATTGTTTTCACTTTGTATCATCTGCTGACGATATCCAGATGAGCTGTAATATCCAGATGACGACAGCTAAATATATTGTCTGGTGTTGAATGAACAATTTATGTCATTTATTTGGAAAATATTCAAACTGAACATATTTAAAAAAATTTACATTTCATTTCGTTACTCGAAAAAAAATGTGTTATGCCACATGTTGATTAATCATCATGAATGTGTTGTCCGAAAATGAAAATAACACTTGTTTAAAAATAAAAACCTCAAATTCTTACCGTTAACCACTCGTTTGTGTGAATTGTCCATTGTTGTAGATGCAGAGGCGTAGCCATAGAACAAGGGGCTTATGACTGACTCGAGTCAATGCTGACTCGTGAAAATTTCGTACAAACCTCTACACGAGTCACTTCATACACAACGCACACAAAATATATGGCCGTAGAGTGAGTCACGATTCAATCATTAATGTCAATTTCAAATATCATCAACGTTTAATCGAAGACATATAATTTTTCTAGCATCCAAAGGAATCATATTAATTCTCTTAACAATTTCCACTGTATCAAAGCAATTATTGTTCGAATTTCTTTCTGTTTGATAGTAAAAAAAATGCGAACGAATTATTAGCTGATTTATAGAACTTATACGCACTGTGCTAGGTTTTGGGATCGACAAATTAGAAGCAAATGTATTTTAAAAATACAAATACTCATCATATACATAAAGATAAAAAATTTATCATAAAAAATGATTGGATGTTTTCACTCTTCCGGCATTAGCACTTAAATTAACATACGATTCGGCGGTTTCCATGAAGCATTTTAATAAATACAACAAATTTTTACGATTTGAAATTCGCTTAAAACTTGTCATTGAGACTTTTTACTGACTCGAAAATCATAAGGGGACTCGCAAATCACGTATAGACTCTTATTTAAATTTGTTTTTTAAAAAACGACAAAACTTCTTTATCCGCAAAGTCCATCACATTTCTCATTCCACTTTCTACCTTACGACACTTTAATAAAAATGTTTTTGCTTAGTTTGAATGTACTCGCTGAGGATGACACATTGCCGAAATGCATCCGAACCATTGTTTCAATTATTGTTATTTATTTGAAGTCATAAAGGTGCAATATACTTAAAACAAATTGAGTTTTATTTTAAAATCTTTGATATAGACTCTTATTGATTAGTATAATTTACATGAGACTCGTGCGATTCACATATGTTATAGGCCCCTTGCCATAGAATTAGTGATCGGAGGGTGCTCACATTTTGCAAAGTTGACAATTTTAAGGAGTTAATTAAAACGGGAGAGAGTTCTTGGAACTTTAGAGAATTTTCAGGAGGCAAGAATGATAGAAAAACCTTGTTGGATCAGTTCGGATTATACCAAAAATTAGAAGGTTTTTCTGATTTGTCTTCAAATTTACTAGTTTAATCTCTGTTTTCTCAAAATGCGGCCTCACTATTACCAATTCATGTGCTCTGCTAACATAAAAATGTGCCAAATTTGTTTATTGTATCTTATCAAACGCAATACAGGGTGTCTCATATATCAGGCTCACTATGAAGGAGTGAAAATTTCTAAAAAACCTTTGGGGGTATGTTTGGGGTAAAAAATAGAAAATTTCTATCGGAGCAGAATTTTGAATTTTTCCCCAGGGGGGTGGGGTTGCCCCCAATTTCGCAAAACTTCATCGGATCAAAAAATAATGTACTACAAAGTTGTTCAGAATGGCGAGAGAAATTTTTTTTACACAAAAAAGTGTAAAATCGACCCCTCAAACTTACAAAGTCAATTTTACACTTTTTTGGTCCAAAATTTGTGAAAAAACGTGAATAAGAAAAATATCGATTCTAATGTAATTTTTCATGCTGATTCCGAATTTTTAGGCTTACACTCTCCAGCAAGTCACTTTCGAGTATCTTATTGAAACCTATACCATTTTTTGTGCATAAATGGCTGATGAGTTATTCAGCTTTATATTTTGTGGTGAATTTCGGTTTTGGATGCAATTCAACATTTTTCTATGGCAAAAAAATCGGAAAAATTTTTGTGCCATTTTTTGTGCCATTTTTTTGTGCATAATTTGTGCATGCCAAATATGCCTTCGGATCGGTCGTACACTGCAAAAAATGCATCAGAATCGATTTGACGTCAATTTCCCCACACAAATTCACCACTTTTTTTTTAATAATTGGAAAAATAAAAAAAATTCTTTACCATTTTTGTGTGCATAATTTGTGCATAACAAATCCATATCGCACCGAATTTGTGCATGCAGGGGTAGTTCAGTAGTCGACTTGAGCAATATATACGAATCGATTTTCGCTCATTGTGTGATTTTAGAGAATATTAGTGAAGTGGACTACTGAGCTACCCCTGCATGCACAAATTCGGTGCGATGTGGATTTGTTATGCACAAATTATGCACAAAAAAATGGTAAAGAATTTTTTTTTATTTTTCCAATTATTTAAAAAAAAGTCTAGGGGGATTCCGCGCTCTTAAATATGAATAAATATGAACAAATTCGGGGGATTTCAACAAATTCAAGAGACATCTCTTTACAACACAACTTTACGTTTTTTGGGAGATATTTTGAGATTTTCTGAACTGCAATACCGACAATGTTGAACTTGACAAGAACAGGGAATGAAAAAGTGGTGAATTATTATGACAGCTTCTATATATTAAAAAATATATTGATTTGTTCTGATTAACTATTTGTTCAATCTCTTTTATACTTTGTTCATTTAAATTACTTAATGACGCTCTATCGATTGCACAGACAGCTAAAATATCTTTGATAATTTTTGGAATTTTATATTCGTAGAAGTTTTGATACTCACGCCAGAACCGTTCCATTGCAAATGGCACAATTCAATTTTGCTTTGTAATGCAAAAACTTACACACATGTAACAAACAACTACCATGACAGCTTAGAAGCTGTCACAATAATTCACCTATTATAAATATTTTAATGTCGCTAATGCAGTTGCTGACAGTCTGCAGCGCCAAAAATTCCCCACCATTCATTATTATCTCATATTCTAAAAATGTCAAAATATTCGACAAAATTTGAAGTATCCTACATGGTGGATATCGGTGAATACTTACGGATATTGTCAGATACGGTGAGATATTTGAATTTTTATGAGATTTTAATGAATGACGTTAAATTTTGGTACATAAATACGCGCGGAATCCCCCCAGAAAAAAGTGGTGAATTGGTGTGGGGAAATTGACGTCAAATCGATTTTGATGCATTTTTTATAGTGTACGACCGATCCGAGGGCATATTTGGTATGCACAAATTATGCACAAAAAATCCAATAAGATACTCGAAAGTGAGTTGCTGGAGGGTGTACGCCGAATTTTTAGATTTCAGGTCAAAAAAATCACATCTTGGGGGTTTTTGACCCACCGACCCCCTTAAGGGGTGGAGGGACTTGGAGGGCAGGGGTCCAAAAAAATTGGAACGTATAAGTGCTTATATTGTCACGAAATGTCATTTTCCAAGAAATCGATATGGTGACCGATGTAGCTCTTGCGCTACCTACTGGTAATATGAAAACCCAAAATTACACTGATATCTTGTTTCTGACGTCTAGTAAAACGAAGAAAAACTATTTGCCAATAAAATTACAAAATTTGTGCAAAACCACCCTAGTGCTTACACAACACACGAAAGTCGCAAATGAACAACAAAAACTATTTGGTTTTTATTTGGATTGTAAATATAGGCATTGAACACACTGTTTAACATTTTGTTTTATAATCAAAAACAAATTATCTCAAATGAATTCATTGGAAAGTAAAATGTTCTCATAAGTTCTCATAAGTTGACCGTCTTCAATCTTTCACGCTGATAGTTCTCTTTCGATTGTATCCGAAGGTATGCATATTGGTTCGACGTTATTCGAAGTGGTGCTTTTAAACTTACGTGCCATAATGACGAATATGAATATGTCGAAAAACATTAAAATTGCAAAAAAGAGAAATTCGTATGCTTGAAATTGAGAAAAGTGCATTCCGGATATAGCCACAATGATTAGATTACCAATTGCAACATTCAACTGCCAAATCGATAGTACTACAGATCGCATGCTTTCGGGTGCTTGTTCATATGAAAATGCAAGACCGGTCACTGAAAACATTATTTTGCCCATAGTAATGACTACATATTGTGGCAATTGCCACAAAATATTTACGGAATTTTTCGGTGATGTTTCAATCCAGAATTCAAGAAGTGCTGCAAGTATTAATTTAAATTATCATTTTCAGCGATATTGAATAATGGGTGTTCGTACGAACAACGAACGAGCAATCCGAACATTTCGTTTTATACGAACGAACCAACGAACGCAATACAATTCTACGAACGAACGAACGAACAAAAATACCAAAAAATATTCTACGAATGAACGAACGGTTCGTTCGTTAGTGTTCGTGGGCAGCTATGCTTTGTGGTACCGTAATGATGTGAAACTTTGCACAGGCTATTTTTTCCACAAGAGAATAACATTCCGAGAGTTTGAAGAAATTTCAATGCATAATTGGGATACCTCCCATACAACATTTTTGGCTCAAAAACGAAAATGTTGTATGGGAGCACCTATATTTTGATTGAAATTTCTTTAAACTTGGTAAGATAAGAGAATAATATTCACAAAATTTTCACGGTGATTTAAGTTACTTCAACCAGACACAGACCATAGTTTTAGTTTATTCCCAAAATTTTTGTTCCATGAGTTGTAAAATTGACTTGGTCATCAAATCATGACACAATATCAAAATGGTGAATCAACTAATTTTTACTCATTTTTGCTCATTTTTTTAGTTTTTTTCTAGGTTTTACATGGACTATAAAAAAGTAGCTAATGGTTTCCGTTAAATTTCAATATAATTTTGACTATTAATACTCTACTAATCCTACTAAAATGTAATAAAAGACTTGAGAATGCTATCAGGTATAAAAAAATATTAGTTAATGCGAAAAGTAATATTTTTAAGACACACTCCTTGCTTTGATTCATTGTTTTTAACACAGACCATAAAACATAAAATTCAAGAGAAAATTAGTAGCTCAAAGTCTGTGAGGCACTAA